CAATTGAAAAACATTTAGCTACATAACACTGCCAAAATAGTTTCTCTCAGAACTGCATAGAACCTCCATGAATGAGATTGCTACATATTTTTTTTCCTCCTGGATTGTAACCACACAAGAAGTCCAGAAAATGAAAAATGTCTATAAAAATTAATTCCTTTCCATATCTGAGCACAGAAGTAAATGTCAATGAAAAATTGTATTTGTCCTTTAGGACTCGCATGATGGCTAAAATCAACCACAGCACACAAACTCTGAATGCATTAGGATTCAGGCATTTGTCTCTATACACATACACAGTGAGAAATATGTACATCTCTCTCAAAAGTTCATTATAAGTAATTCTTCAACTTTGAATTTGGCATCATTCTCTTGCTCCTTCCTGCTGAAACTGCACAGACTGACATCTCACAAACCTTTTCCTTTCGCAGGGCACTAATATTTGTGCTGGTTGAGAAGGCATTTTAACCTGCAATTTGGTACTGGCAGGTGCACCAACTGCATGTGTAGTATTTGCAGGTGAGATTTCCTCCCATCCAGTCAGTGCTAGGTCAGTTCTGAAGGCAGCTAGCACCAGTCAAGCAGCAGTCATAGGCAGGGACTATTCATTTAATCTGAGAGAAGCAGCTTTTGGAAGAATCTTAGTAAGAGTCTTGCCCAAATGGTGTCCTGATTCCCACAGCTTTGCCTATTAGCTGCATAAGGGTAGTTATTTAACATTTAACAATGTTAAATCTACAGCATAATATATCCAAGTCTGTAATCTTTTATAACTTGCCAATAATCCTCATTTTATGGGTCAAAGTGCAAAATGGCATTAGGAACTTCCTGAAAGCAGAAAGTTCTGCCCATTTTTTCCTTTGGCAGCAAAGATATTCTTTGGGTTTGACCCTAGAGACTTCTCCAGAGGTGCAGAATAATGCAACAGCACATTGGAGTCTGACGTGCCTTTCAGTTCAGTGAGACAGGAGTAGTGCTACATAGCTAGAGCTAATTAATTTGATTCAGTCTTTTGGAAGGCTCTCACCTTGCATATAAAACTGTATTGAAGGTGATTTTCAGGGATCATATTTGCCTTAAAATGGTTCATTTTATAGCACCACATCTTTAAAATCTGGTGACAAATATACTGCTAAACAAAGGCTGCATTTTCAAAATTTGAAAGGCTTTAGCATTCAGGGCTATGTTGACAATACATTCATTAATACTGCACTGAAAATATACTTAGTAAGCAAGCCCTTCATAATACTGAGGATAAAAGCACAGTGGCTGATTTGAGTACAGATTAGAATTCCACCCTGCATATGATGGGGGAATCTGTGTGTTCTGAAGGACTGTTGTCATTGCTCTGTAGAGGACATCACTGTTTGGTTTTGTTATGAAACATGCTGTTTGAGCTAAATAAATATTGTGTGTGCTTCATCTGTTAATGATGGAGAAAAAATGGAGTCAATTGGATTTTCTCCCATGAATACTGTGTCAGTGGTTTGTGGATTATTTGAGAAGAGGTTATATGTAAAAATCGGGAGAGCAGGCTGGACAAACCATTTCTAGCATGTGGTTTTCTTAGAAACTCACATTATAGCTGTTGTGCCACACCATTGATCAGCTAAACTGCATGGACTGGAAAGTGTTATTTAAAGGATCAATAAGGGGAATTAAAAAAAAACCTGCTCTGAATGTCTTCTAGGAGCAGAGAGGACTGCTCCCAGTATTTCAGAGAAGAGAGCAACAGAACATAAAATGAAAGGCCATCCACAATGGAAACAAAAATTCAGAGGTGATTGTATCTCTTGTTGTAATGAATCTTCAATATGTAAACAGCATAAAAGTGTCCTTAAAACAAGCCAAGTAACTGGGCAGACTAAGAGAGAGTATGCTTCAGATCAAAAAGGCTAAAAGCAAGTAAAATGTATTTGTTTTTCAAACCAGTAGTAAAATATTTCGACTACAAATGTTCCTGAATAACTTCTAGGGGAGATGCAGAGTAATAGAGGCATCTAAGACCTGTTATTATGTGCTCTAGATAACAGAACTACTTCAGTGCTAACTCAGGATTTCCCAGGCCAAATCTATCCCATACAGAGTATGACAGGCAACTATCTGCCTCTTACAACAATCAGAAATATCTATTTTTCTAAATTCTGTTTTCAAATAAATAATTCCTGTGAGTAAAAGGAAAGTAAGAGTGAAAAGTAAGTAAGGAAGTAAAAATTCAGCAAAATACTGAAGCAACTGGGAAGTGTGACAGAAGATTAGAAAAGCCATAAAGAGACCAGCCAATGGAAAGAAGAAAGTACCAATAAGTACAGGAGAAAGAGCACATTCATGCCAAAACCCATTCAAAGTAATAAAACAGTCACCAACAAAGCACCTTCATTCACAGTATTTCAGTGAACCTGACAGCACCACAGCACAAATCAAAGACATCCTGAAAAAAGGGAAGGGGAGCAGTAAAGATTTCCACTAGGCTCAGAGGCTGGAGGAGTGCAAGATACTGTGTTTCTATAGGTGAGGGGTGCAAGAAAACCAATGGTGTAAGAAGTCACATTTTCCTCTGATCTCCTCCAGAGGCTGTGCTACCAGAAGAATTTAAAATGTGGTATTAGCTGTACTCAGGCACCTGTTTTAAGCTTAATTAGAAAGCAATTCCACAGGAAAGACTTAATCAAAAGCTCCACTGCCCTTCTGACTTGGGCACACTCAGATTCACTGGGGTGGCACCTGTGACTTTGCTCTTCCCAGCATACTCCTCTCCAACAACCTATTCAAACATACAAATATTTTTTTAAACTCTTCCTGGGGAGAATCCTTTATGAAGCTTCCTTCTTTGTTTTGGGTGCCTGGGTAGCAAGGCCAAGGGACCAGGGCAATTCCCCTGCCAGTCTCACTGCCCAAGGAGCAGTACACGAGACTGACAGACACCCCCCTGGGCTGCAGGGGTAAACCTGTCCCACTGCACTTGAACAATGAACAGCCAGCAGTGGGCAACCACTTGGTCAGTAGTGATGAGCTCTAAGTGTGGCCCATGATTTCATCCACCTGAGCTGAAAAGCAAAGGGAGGACACTGAATGGCTTTATAGCAAAATAAAGCCTTTTACTTTTGGGTCACTAGAGTGCAGTGGCAAAAAACAGTAAAAGCACAGCTCAGCTACATGGAAGATGTCTGATGATCTGTTACTGATGTAACAATGCTTGCTTTATTCCCGATAATGAAAGAAAATCTAATTCACACCTGGCAGCCCTGCTGGAAGTCTCAATGGAGAGGGAAGAAATTAGACAGGTATACAAGGTCAAAATGGCATTTTACCTTGCAAAAATAATCTTTCTGCACTGAAAAGCAGAGAATGCAGCAAAAGTATGTAACCACTGAGAAAAACCTTGCAGGTCCCCTTACACAACATCAAATATTCAGGCTTGGTTATTCCACATCCTTCTACAACAAGGAGAAATGTATAAACAGAAAAAATTATGTTATATCAGAAACTCTGCTGGCATAAACTGGCTAGTGCCATTTAAAAGAAGAGGATTTTTCCAACTTACAGTAGCTAGCTGTTTACATTTTATCAACAACCCCTGAGAATATTGTTTTTCTCTCATTCAGATATTTTCAACATGTTTATGACATGTTCAATTTTCTTACTTAAGAAAACAGTGTTCTTCTGAAAGCCACTTAACAATAAAAACAGGAGGAAGGCCTGTCTGATGAGCTAAAGTCTGCCAGCTAATTAACTAATTAAATGTACAGGTTTTTTCAGTGGCATAGGATACATATAAAGGATTAAGACCACAGTGGTAAAAAAATAGTTCTAAATACAGTAAACATGGTTCTAAAATGCAATAGGGCATGGCACATATGTGTGGGAAACAGGTGAAAAGACAATCAAATGCAAAGCCTTAGCCCATGAAGATCTGACAGACATTGCACCTGTTTAAGGAAAGGAAAAAACTTTCAAAAAACCTAAATGAAATTGGGGGGGAGGGGGTGGGGGGGGGTAAGATTTATTCTACCAAACAACTTTTTCATCCTTCCATAAGTAAAATAACTAGTTCTACGTTCAGGGTGCTTTCCCAAGATAGAGAAGCCCCCAGCACAACCTTCCACTCTGATTAATTCTACCCAAGGTTTTGACAGCATCTCCCACATCCCAAGAGACCACCTCATCACCCAATTCATTCCATGTGTAGAGCCAAATTAGCTCCTCACAAGAGAAACTGCAGCTTGTATCTGCTGGAAGAATGCATTGCTCAAATTATGTTATCTTCTTCTCATCAAGTATTCATACTGTGAAAATCTTAATCAGATTTAATTATTTACCTAAAGTAACAAAAATTAAAGAAAAGCTACATGTTAACTGCATTAAAGTCTTTTGGATTAGACCCGAGAGGGTGAATTATTCCAGGCAGAGAGTGACCCAGGCCTAAACAATGACTAAGGTAACAAAGATTTTTTACATCAAGAGTAGAACTTCCAATAATCATAACTAATAATTTTAGTTAATAATCTTAAATAAAGTGATTAATAGCAGAAGCCAGAAATAAATTATTTCATTCAAGTACCTGTTGATTTTTAAAAAACTACCATCAAAACTACCTATAATATTACATAAAACACTGAATAACCTGAAGCACTTACGTACTATACTTCATTTCAGAAGGAATTACATTTAATAAGGAATACTTCTGAGTTACAAAAGTCTATATCCTCTCAGCAAAACTGCATTTCAGATGCCAATGTCAAAGACCAAGTAATGATCACAAGAATTGACTACAGACACAAAAAGCAGTTTTATGCTTTTCAGGTGATTTGTAAGTTGCTGCTCTTCCCTCTTCTGGGCCAAGATTCCCAGCAAGCCTTAAAACAATAGACACATACCATCCATTAGATTCTGACTGAGATGTAATGAAAATACCTTTTGCTACACTTTTGCACACAAGTACCTCATAGTACATACTGATAATACAACAATACATAAAGCCCATTTCATAATATCCTTACCAGAGACGACTTGAGTTCTTCATTTGAGCTAACGTAGCACTACTGGAACAACAGCAGAGGCACAACCAACACCAAAGAGGGCTTGAGGCATCTGCAGCTTTTTATAGCTCTCCAGCACAACCCTTTATACTCATTATCCTCATTCATTACACCTGTGTGCCCTCTCTGCCCTTTTGTGATTGGTCGTTACCCCTCGGTACTCAGTGTCTCATTACCTTCAATACTTTTCACCTGTCCTGCACAGCTGCAGCCCATTGGGGATGAGGCTCAGCCACAGCCCTGCTCTCAATTACCACAAACTGTGTGCCTACAACATGGTACAGCTACCTGGTGCTTCTACTAGCAGTTCAGATACTGTGGTGTTTACAGCAGAAAAAAATGAAATTGCTAGGTGCCTAGCACTAATTAAATATATTTTAATAGGCACTGCTGTTGCTATTCATAATTTTGCACAGGTGACATTTTAATTATTCCTACTGTTTTTGGAGCAGTTTTCTTCAGACTTCAGCCATTTACAATCTCCACAGAGAGACAAGACTAAAGGTTACATAATGGATAACTGTCAAGTAAATTCCTCTCTTTCTCTATCTCTTTCCTTTCCATTTCCTCATACCTCAAGCCATGAGGTTTGTGACAAGATTTTGTACAACTCTGCCTTCATAGTCTAGCTAAAGTCAGAGTGGAAGGAAATTCGAGAAACAGCACTTAACTGAATGCAATTCAATCTGATTTGTCAGAAAGAACTTTTGAAACACCTCTTGGAAGACAGCAGCTCTTGGCTCAGTACTCATGTATTTTACAGGAATATCAGTATAACAAATTGACTTACTGAATTTCCTGATATGACAACTCATTCAATCAAATCCTTCAGACAAAGACATCTACAAAGACAGGCACACTACACCAAACTGTGCATGCACTCCACAAACCACAGACAGTAATGCCTGCAAATAGGTTTATATGAGTGTACAACTCTACAGCCTCATGTTACCACAATGGGGGATATGTTAAAAAAACCCAAATATTAAATAAATAAATAAATAAATATGCACAGCTGGTGTCTTGCAATCAAAATCTTTCTCTTAGTCAGGCAGATTTCCTGTACAGGTCGAAGAGGTATAGTAATCATGCATTACTGGCTTCAAGGCTTGTGCTCAGGAAGCACTTTGCTTGTCAACCGAGGTAATACATTTTTAATTTGCAATCTCATTTACAAAGGAAAGGCAACATAATATATATCCTAAAAATTATTATCGGTATTCAAACAAATCTATCAGTTTTGTAACAGACTCTTTACACTTATCCCTTTAAACACACACATTTGCTACTACTATAACTGATATTTCTCTCATCACTGGAGCTTGGACCCAAACAGTGCCAGTAAGTGCCTCTAAATTTTAAGTCCAGTAAGATACAAATCAAAGTTTACTGTTGATTTACTTTCAATTTATTGAGCTCTATGTTTCATCATTTCTACATGAATCCTTTAGGCTTTATGCTTCCTCAAGCACAGACTGTGTCTTTATCTTTCTGTACAACTTCCACCATAAACTGGAGTTGTGGTTGCAATAAATATTAATGCTGAATGGACAAGATATTAGCAAAAGTTCTGACCAATTAATTTTTCTGTGCATCCATTACACAGTAAATATTCGTTAAAATTATTCTGTACAATGGAAAGAAGCTAATTTTTTTAGTTAATTGCATTCTTAATCAGGCAGTCTGCCTTTAGGACTTGAATTTATACATAAAGAACAAAATTTTCACTGAACACCAAAAGCCTGAATTAGAACTGCATCAACACAAAATTTTAAATAAAAACTTGCATGCACACTGATATGAGGAACATATACGAGGAACAAAGGTCTTCGTACACATACATGAACAAACCACCACAGAACAAATTTCTTTTCTTTACAGATCCTGAAAGGCATTTTAAGAAATGTGCTTTGATTTAGAAAAAAATACTGGGCTTAAAAATGGGATTGAATCATGGAAATGCCCTGCCTTCTGTATGCAGGTTATTTTGTGGCTAGGACATCACAACATTTAAAATTCTGAGTTTTTGGGAAAGCAAGAGGACAACTCAGATTGAAAAACACACTGCTGACTCAGGTACTGTTTCATCTGAGATCGTATTCAATACCACAGGAGTAAAAATCAAAGTAAGGAATCCTCTCTCTAGTCTTTTTCCTAGGTGGACTTTTGGTAAATACTGTCCTAAGTCAGACAGTCTCAGCTGTGCAGCTGCTGTGAGGGATGACCACACACCATGCTCAGGGCCTAAGCCTGCTCCTTGAACCATCTTTGTAAATGGTCCCAAGAAATACATTGAGCTGCTGTGAGGGATGACCACACACCATGCTCAGGGCCTAAGCCTGCTCCTTGAACCATCTTTATAAATGGTCCCAAGAAATACATTACCCCTCTTTTTCAAAGGGAACAGTGCTCCCAAAAAAGAGTTAAGAATGCAAGATAGTAAATTTTAAGGTCACATTCTAGAAGGCATTAGGCCAACCTGATATTTCTGAAAACGGATTTTATACAGATTCAAATGATAAAATCATATCAGTGTGGTTCATGTGTAAGATTAGTATGCTACATATGTTTAGACAAAACCTGCCAGATTGCTCAGATTACATTAAATTCAAGCTCCCAGGCAGCAATTTTCTTTGGAACTATGGTATGAGTTGTATTTAATACGAAAAAGCCAAGCCAACACACCAATAAGGAAGGCACTGCTAGCAGTATGACTTCAGGCTTGCTAGACCTTGCCAGACCTTTGTCACCTTACAGACACTCAGCAGTAAGTGATGGTGAGCATCTGCACTTCCCTCACATACACTGAAGAGAAGAGACTGACTGTCATGGTTCCTGGGATAAGAACTGGCATGCTATCACCTGTGTTGCCTGCATCTCTGAATTTGGAGCCCTCAGTCTTGTTCTGGAGCCAGAAATGTCTTTGTCCCTAGCATCAGGTAAGAAAAAGGAGGTAATTTCTAGTACCCAAAGGCAAGAGGTAAATTTTCCACCTAGTGATGGGGTACTCCTCTGGGTCTACCCCTCTGGAATTACCTTCCCTGCATAAACTTCATCAGCTTTAATGAGGATGGACACTCAATTAAGCCTTTAGAAAGCAGTAATGAAGGAAGAGATCTTTAAGGCACATATAATAAAATGTACTTGTCATGGTTGTTTGCCTGCATACTTTGATAATGATTTGAGGACCAGGAAGGATTTTTTTGTTTTTTCCACATTTTCCTTTTTATTAAAAGCTCTCACATTTCACCTTTAAGGCATTATTGCAAATTTTGTCTTGTTAATTGACTGCTCATATGGCAATAATTTTACACCACATTAAGCAATGTTCTAATTTGTTTTAATGTCCTCACTTGATGGGGAAAAATGCATCATACATAGAAATAAACTCCTTTACATATCCAGTATATATACTTGTCATCTAGTTTTAGCTAAGAAGTGCATGTATACAGGAGAGAGAAATACAGGAGGAATGTATGTGCAGGAGAGAATGCAAAAGGCAACATAATAAACTGTCACTTGAGAAGAATGGTGAGGGACCAATCCATCAGGCATCAATTCCACATTTTTATGTACATGATGAATGCTTTCTGCTGCCTCAGTTGGGCTGAAAAACAGCAAGATAGAAGTAAGAACCTGATTAAACACATGACTGAATATACCAACAATGACAGATTCAATGAATGTGTTTCTTTCTATATAGACAGGGGAAGCATCTTTACTTTGTACATGTAACTTGTAAAAAATCAGAAACGGTGGAAAAGAAACTTAGAGCTGCATGTCCATGCAGCACAGGGGCTCCCTTCATGGCCCCAGCTCATCCACAAAATCCATGAGGCACCAAAGCAGAGGGCATTCTCTCTCTGACACATTCCTTCTGCTTCTGTAGGGATCTGACTCCATGCTGGCTCCATTATAGTTCATTAAATGGTAAGTTAAGAGTAAAAAAGCAGTAAAGGACCCGTGCCACAAATACTCCATGTGTTCTGTGAAATCTTAGGTTTGGAAACCTTTTATATATAACATTCCCCTATAAAAACCATAATAAGAATATTTGTCCTACTTTTGTACACTAAACTATATTAATGACTGGAAACTGAATGGTATAAATTCAACTCCCAGCTGTTTGTATTCTTCTTGGTAGCTCTCAATATTCCCAGAGGTACCATTTGGAAACTTTCCTGTCACTTGCTACTCTCCTCCAGAAGGTCCAATGAACTGCACAGGTCAGCTTTCTGCTCTTGAATTAGAAACAAGATCTAACATCTTCTTATCACCTGATCTGATTTTTGTTGCTATAGCAATACAGTTACACACTTCATGATACTGGACATTGAAAGAATTGTGTACATCACTGAGGACAAAATACTGTGGCAGAACTGAGATAAGATAGAGAATAAAAAAAGCTTTTTTTTTTTTTTCCTCCTAAGTCTGCTGACTGTTTCCAGCATCAAATTGTACAATACTTAGAAGCATGTTCCCTTTGGGTAGGTTTTTACTTTAAATTACTGAATGGGAGCCTGTGCTATACACAGAAAATGAGGACAACTTGTTTCTTTCTGGAAGTTAGTTTTTAAATAAAAGGGTTTTTATTGTACTGACAATTAAACAAAACTTGTTAAGAAAGTTAACAGTTCATCTTCTAGTATCTTTGAAGTGTGATGTCAACCAGTACCCACCTGTAGCAAGATAAAAGCAGCACTGCTGCAGAGAAGGACCTGGGGGTGCTGGTGGACAACATCTGTCCATGAGCCAGCAGTGTCCTGGTGGCCAAGAGGCCAAAGCTGTGTCCTGGGCTGCATCAGGAAGGACATTGCCAGCAGATCAAGGGAGGGGATCCTGCCCCTCTCCTCAGCCCTGGTGAGGCCACATCTGGAGTGCTGTGTCAGTTCTGAGCTCCTCAGCACCAGAGAGACATGGAGCTCCTGAAGCAGGTCCAGCAAAGGACAATAAAGATGATTAAGGAGCTGGAGCATCTCTTAGGAGGAAAAGCTGAGAGAGTTGGGCCTGTTCAGCCTTGAGATGACTGAGAGGGGACTTCATTAA